GGAAAATAAATTAAAAATTTAGAAAAATAAAATAAGTTGCCTTCTCGTTACCTCTGAAGTAGCCTTGAAACCAGAAGACCTCACCCTCCTCGAAATGCAAATATTGAGCTCTTCAGAGATGCAGAAAATGAGGAGTCACTCAATAAAGGTGGATCCACTCAGCAAAGGAAAAATCAGAAGAGAAACAAAAAGGGCTGTGACAAGAATTTGGAAAAGACGATCAAGACTCTTCCCCATGGACAAAGCCCCAGGCTATGAAGAATGCCTCAGACACAGGCAGTTTTGGAAAAGGCTTACCAGTAAAAGCAATTTTATACAGAAAGACCTGGGTGCATTCTCCATCTTGGCGGTCTCCATGAGATGTGTTCTTCTTTTTAAAATTTTTATCTATTGAGATTTAGTGATTTACAATTTACAATAGTGGTTTCTCCAGCCTATAATTCCAACACCTCACCCATCACCAGTGTACCCCCTCGCTCTCCCACGGAAACTCAGTTGTGTAGGTCAGTTGGCCCTTTGCTGACCTCACTGTGCATCTTTAAATCCCACGTCTGAGAGAGCTTACTCTGGGTCTACCCCTGTCCTTCTGACTGACTTCACTCAGCATCATGTCCTCTAGATCACCATATCTAAGCCTGGAAACAGCCAGTGTTGGCAGGCTGCGTTCTTTTGATTTACTTCATGGAACGGTCTCTGTCTTGGAGATTTGCCCACCTCTCAGTCTGAGATTTATACTCTCTGCTCTCTCCCCTGTGGAGAATCTCACATCTCTCCTGAAAACGTAAGTCTCTAACTTCCTCTAAGCAAAACTGTTTTACTTCACTTTTGGTAAAAGGTAAGGTAAAGGTAAAGGCCCTCCCGTTGATCATCGATTTGCTCGAGCGGGCCCAGTAACGTCTCCATTGGAGACTTTGTTGTTACTGTGTCTGGCATATCGAATACTCTCGGTAGCTTGCCGGGCTCTCCGAGAGGGGCGGAGGAATCGAACTCGGGTCGGCCATGTTGGCTGCGTGCAAGGCAGACGCCCTACCCGCTGTGCTATTCACTTTTGGTATCCTCCTAAAATTTCTTCCTGTGAGGAAGATGAGAATCCTGGAAACCCTGGGCAGAGGTTAAGACTGGTCTTTCTTTTCCTCAAAGACCAGCTCCTCTCTAGTCTGACATCACAGCTCCCCGAGAGTACAGGTGGTCACCCGACCCTGGAGCAAGAGAGGACGTCAGACACAGTCTGATGCTGGGGGCGGACGTGATTAGTTCGGACCCTTCCCTCCACGCCTGGGATGGGCTGACAGTGGAGGAGATGTTCAGGAATCTTTCCTGCTCCCAGACTGGGGTTCTCCTCTATCAAGGATGGTGTCAGTCACTTTGACCTATTTTGGAATTTCTGGACTGTTCAGATTTGTTTATTCAGACAGGCAATGCTTAGTCTCTGCTGTGTCCCTTGAAATCAGCTCAGTGCTGGGGAGGCAAACAGACATAAGAAGTAAGAAGCAGAAGGGCAACAAGGGTAACTGGGGCTCCACTCCAGGGCCCCCTTCTCAGATGGATCAGGGGAGGGCACATGAACCCTGTCCATACTACCTGGGAGGAAATGGTGCCGGCTCACAGTCAGCGGTAACAGGGAGGAGGGACAGCCGGGGCTGTGCACACTCTGGACCTGTTTACTGCCCTTTGCTCTAGGTACCTTGGAATGCAGAGATAGATTCACAGGATTCTGTTCAGATTATATCTGGCTGCAAGAACATAAAACCGGCTAACGGGGGCTCACCTCACCAATGAGTCCCAGATGCCCATTTCCCCAGAATCCCAGATTCATCCTGTGAACAGGATTTCTTTCTTTCTTTCAAATCTGTGGTCATCACGTTTGTCCTCAGACTTCTCAGACTCCGGCTTCAAAGATGAGGACCGGAAAGGACGGGACCCTGCTTTCATGAAGGAGAGGCACCTAACACTGTGCCCGGGATGGTGAAGATGGAACACAGTGCCATTTGATTTGCAGGCTGCTCTCAGGGGAACCAACAGGTGGGGAACCTCTGTCCCACTGTGGAGATAGGGAACTAATCATTCATCTGAGGCAGGTCCAGTGCTAGGCACTGCTTTGGGACAAAGTAGGAAATGGTGGGTCCTGGGATTGCATTGAGCTGTCCATGTTTCTCTTAATTATATTTCTTAGGTGGGTCACTGGAAGATCACCCTTGGACATCAGCCCTCTTTGGCGATAGTTTCAGCCACAGAAAATAGCGTTGCCCGAGATTGCCCTCCATCCTGGTAGTGGCCCACATTAAATGACCAGTCCATGTGCTCTAAACTTACTTCTGCAGGCGTGGTGGAGGTGCTTACCAAATGGTGGGCTGCCACTTCACATCTCTGCCAACTTTCATTTTTCCAGGTATGAAGCTCATTATTTCCATATTGAAGGACTGCCTGGTATTAACATGCACTCAGAGACCAGGCTCCCCGTGTCTACTTTGGCTAAACTTGCATGTGCATTTTTGCCACGAATTCATACTCATGAAAGGTTCAGGCATTCAGAGAAGGTGAGGATTGAGCAGTGGCTTGGAACTTGGGGCTCTGGAGACAGAAGGAGAGGGAGAGAATGATGTGTAACGGGAAGGTCTCAAGAGAGCTGGGATCTGAAAACAGAACACAGGCCCAGACTCACTCCTTCCATTCCACAGTCTCTCCCTCCACTGTAGAACTACGAAAGCAGACCTCTGCTCATGTTTCCAACATTCAGCAACTCTGGAAATACAATTTTTCAGTGCAAGGAATAGAAATAAAAATAACCAAGTCATCGCTTGCTACATTTTCTAATCTAGGCATGCAAAATTATCTTGGTTGTCATGGCAAGACCTTGGTGGCAATGACAAACATCCAAGATTTCTTTCCAGGAACAGTGGCAGCACACTCGTACCAGGACAGTCCCTCCCCATCACACTCTGGTAAGGAAACAGTCACTCTGGGCCTCTGAATGTTTTCCTCTCAGCTCAATTGGCTTAGGATGATTTTTTAAAATTTGAGATACTTTTGGATGGGTAAGCATGGAAAAATTGTGATTTCCTTCCAGATAATTGCTGCATACTTAGTTTTTATTCAAATTCTTGAAGACTCAAAGTTGTGGTCTGTGAAGTGGGGAGTGTCTGAATGAGCTTCTGGGCCAGACTTGAGCATCTTTACTTCAGATGATCCACCTTGAGGTTAAGAGAACAAGTTGAGAAAACTTATTTCACCAAACAAGGTGAAAGGAAGCCCAGTTTTCTAGCTGTGAGATCTTGGGCACATTTACAAAAGCTTCTGCAGGAGGTTATGAACATGTAATTTATTTGGTCACCAACCTGCACTTCCTGATGCATTCTGGATGCCAGAATGCTGAAATGGGGGAGCTCTTGTTCCTGCTAGTCCCGACTACACATGGTTGGCTCTGCTCTGAAGGCACCTTGTGGTCTAGTGCAGTGTCTTTCCACCACTGGTCGTTGGAGCGGTGCTTACTGAAGAAAGGTTAAAAATCAGTGACCTACCTCCTTGGTTACAATGGCTAGTCTACGTGCAGGGTAAGTATCCTTCACGGGAGCCAACGGGCTGAAGAATGCTGGTCTAGTGGAGGATTTCCCACAGTGGGAGAAACAGTCCTTCTCATGCCTCGATTGGGGTCATGCAGGAGTGATCCAGAAAGAAAGAAGTAGCCTCTGATACAGTTGGGGTGGGATGGGCTGGCACTTTCTGTTTGGTCCTTTAAGAAGGTGTATTTTTCTCAAATATAATTCTAGGGCAGTAGGTCACCAAAGTTTGGGAGCCTTTGGTCTGGTGGAAGAGTCAATACTATTACAGAGGAACTGGAAATTGGTAACTCTTCTTCCTGGTTCCTTATTGTGTTCTATCCCGACCAACTTTGGCAAGCCATTAGGAATTTGAGTCAGTTTCTTCATCTGCAAAATGGGAGAGTACTATCCCTGCACTGCTTTCAGGCAGGACCCACTAGTGGTGACTTCTCACATCCGGGAGAGCTGGCTGCTGCCTGTCCCTCCTGCTCAGAGCGTCTTTCTAATTGGGCATGTCCTGCTCCTGGTCAGTCACATTCTGCTCTGTCGCCCTCTGCTTATTTGCACGGTGGGATGGGTAGGTGGGTGGCCAATATCAAGTGGCACCCAGGGGCTGTTTGCAGTGCTGAGTGCTCTGGTTACCATGCTCTGGGACCATGAGGTCTTGGGGACAGAAACTGGGGCTCCTGACTGAAAAACTATCCCTGCAAGTTGATTTTAAGAAATCATGTGGTTTCTAAACTTTCCCCTGCCCCTTCCCTAAACTAGCAGGACCTCCATCACAACCATCAGTCCTCAGGAAACCAGGTGAGTGGATTGTAAGCTACAGGCGGGGGGGCCAGATGAGGTGCGTGTGCTGTGCATGTATGGAACTGTACGTGCTTGTGGATCAGGGTGTGTGTGTGTGTGTGCGCATATGCGTGTGCTGTGTGCCTGCGTGCGTGGGTAGGTGTATGGGTGTGTGCATGCACGTGCACTTGTGTGTGCTTGAGTGTGGGTGTGGATGTGTGCGTGCTTGTGCCTGTGTAGACAGGAATGTGTAGGTGTGTGCGTGTGTTTCAGTGGATGTGTGTGTGTGTGCGGGTCCATGGTCGTGCCAGTGTGTGCGCCTGTGTGCACGTGTGTAGTCCTAGCTTCCGGGAAGCAGTGATCTGTGCGCAGACCTCCAGTGACCCCTGCGAGCCGGCTGCTCAGTGCCCCAGGGTTCGGGTCTCCACCTGGCCGCTGCGGGGGGCCGGGCCCCTGGCCTGGGTCCCCCAGGAAATGTGCCGCTTTGTTCGGGCGCCGCGGCCAGGTGCCCGCGGCCGGGACGCGGCTGGGACGCGGCCGGTGGCGATTGCGAGCGCTGCCTCGAGGGGGCCCTGCGGGGGCGCGGGCGGCCGGCCAGGAGGACGGGCCTGCGCGCCGCCTGCCCGCCCGTCCGCCCGCCCGCCCGGCCCAGCCGCTGCGGCCTTCGCCCCGCGGGACGGCGCGGATCGTGCAGGTACCGGGCGGCTCTTTGTTCCGGGGGCGCGGGGCGCGGGCTGGAGGCGGCGGGCGGGCGCGGGGCGCGGGGCGCGGGGCGGGGGCTGGAGCGGCGGGCGGGCGCGGGGCGCGGGGCGCGGGCTGGAGGCGGCAGGCGGGCGCGGGGCGCGGGGCGCGGGGCGCGGGCTGGAGGCGGCGGGCGGGCGCGGGGCGCGGGGCGCGGGGCGCGGGGCGCGGGGCGCGGGGCGCGAGTCGGGGCTCGGGCCCGACTGCGGACCTGGGTCCCGCCGCCGCCTGACACGTCCGAGGAGCGGGGTCCGAGCCCGCCCTGATTCGAAAGTCCGCGGCGGGAAGGGACTCGGCATCTCCACTCCCCTTCTCAGAGCATGGATGTGGGCTGGGACCCCCGCCCAGCACACACGCGCACACACGCGCGCACATCCCCCCAACACACACACACACACACTCGCGCGCGCACCCCGACACCCCCCCAACACACACACCCCCCAGCACGCACGCACACTCCCAGTTCACACGCCCAACACACACTCGCGCGCGCGCGAACACCCCCCAACACACACGGCCTCAACACACACGCACACACTCCCATCACACACACACGCGCGCGCGCGCACACCCCCAACAGCCCCCCCCCCACACCCAACACACATATCCAACACACGCGCGTACACACGTACACACCCAACACGCACGCAGCCCCCCTTACACACACGAACGTGCACGCACACGCACACTTTGATCTTCTGACTTCTTGTGCTTCCCCCACCCCTGATGACATGTAAACGGTCTCCCAGGAGGTTTGGAAGACGCTGGAAATGTGACTGTGGAAGTTAGGGGCTGGCAGCCCGCCCTTCCGGGGCACCTTTGGGCATTTCTCGGTGAAGTTTCCTGTAGGCTCTTCGTCTCTGCACTGCAGGCTTTTTGGAAGCGCCGCAGTTCTGCTTCTAAAAGATACCTGCTTGTGCTCCAGATTCTTCCCTTTTGGGGACCTGGGAGGTTATATTTGCAAATCAATCAACAAGTATTAAGAAAGGCATTCCTGCGGGCTGGCTGGGAGGGACGGGGCGGTGCTTCCAGCCCGCGGGGCCGAGGAGAGATGCCTCTGTGCGCGCAGCTGCCGCCGGAATCTGGCAGGAGGCCAGGCTCCCGACCTCAGAGGCAGAGGCAGTAATATCACAAAGTAATGCTGACCTTCGAGACGAAGTGATAGCGTGGCAATAGCCCCGCCGCTCTTTGCTCGTGCTGAATGCTTTGCGTGTATTCATTCACTCTTGTTTGTTGGGTGCAGATAACAGCCTTAAAGCGACCTGGGGTAATTGCCTCACCTTACAGATGTGTGGCTGGAGCGATAGCACAGCGGGTAGGGCGTTCGCCTTACAAGCGGCCAACATGGCCGACCCGAGTTCGATTCCTCCGCCCCTCTCGGAGAGCCCGGCAAGCTACCGAGAGTATTCGATATGCCAGACACAGTAACAACAAAGTCTCCAATGGAGACGTTACTGGGCCCGCTCGAGCAAATCGACGATCAACGGGAGGGCCTTTACCTTTACCTTTTTACAGATGTGTGGAGGGCAGCAGATTGCAGGATCTTGGACCTCCTTTGCTCCTAGCTGCCGCTGTCTTCCAGCCTGCGGAGTGGTCAGTTTTTCAGCTGAGGCTCTCTGCAGTACAGAACGCCCTTGCATGTAAACGGTATGGTTGTAGTACTAGTGTAGCTGACTCTTAATAGAGGAGCACTGTGTAATCCTTTTGAGTGAAGCTGTTTACAGATACACCCTCGAAGCTCAAGATTGCAGGGTCAAGTATGTTCCTGTGCTGCAGGAGATGTTACTGATGGGATTTTTCAAAAAGGGCTTAGGAAGGAGGATGTAAGGCAGAAGGAGTGAAGGGAAGTCAGGAGAGGAAACCCAAGTCTGTTGATACACCCACTTTACAGATGTGCACATTAGTTCAGAACAGCTATGACTCTGGATCGGAGCCAGTACTCTGGCACTGTATTTCTAATAGCAGCCTGGCATGAAACCACAATGTCCGATTGTCAAAAATTACTTTCCTACTTTGCTATCCAGGGCATCCTTGGCTGAGTCTGTTGTAGGACCCAGTCAGCAGAGGTTGTTGGTGACTTAGAGCGAGTCCCATTACAGTGAGTCTTCCATCTGCTGACCTGGAATAAGGGTTCTGGTTCCTTGGACTTTGTTTCACGTACAACTTCCCTTTTCAGTAAGAGTGCTAAAAAACCAACTCATCCTTGTCAGGTTTTGCAAACTCTTCTAGTTGCTGAAATAGATACGTCTACTCTCAAAACTCAGCCGCGGGGTGGCGTGGGGTAGTGCGTATTGTATGGCTTCACCTTCAGAAGGGTCTCCCAGAGAGAGCTGGTTTTCAGTCTTCACTGCTTCTGTGAGGATGTGTTCTTTCCAGAGATTCTACTTTGAAAACACCAGCACATTTAAAGTTTGCTTTGGACTGGGAGGACAGTATGGTCTGAAGGCAGGAAGACACTTGCCTTGCATGTGGCTACCCTGGATTCAGTCTCTGATATCAGATGTGGATCAGGAGTGATCCCCGAGCAGAGCCAGGGGTAACTTTGAGCGCCTTGGGGCTACCCCACCCCGTCCCAATGCCCAGTGTCGCCTGCTTCAAAATGCTCCTGAATGCTGGGATTTCTCTTAGGCTCGGAAACAGCTTTTAATTTCCTGGGGTGTTGAGTCTTCAGGCAGAAGTCTGCAGTGCATGAGCTCAGGGGAGGAAGGTGTTTCTTTCTCTCTATTACACAAGCAGCAAACCAGAATCACAGGGTTGCTGGAATCCCTTTTGTTTTGCTTGTGAGGCCTGGTGACTGCCCGCTGTCTTAGCTTGGGTAAGTGGGACCCTGCCCTGTTCATCGCGGCTGAATCTCCTTAAGAGAGGTCTTGCTTTCCAGACGTGTGTGTGTGCAGGTTCTCTGGGATCCCAATGGCCCTGGCAGCCTTGCCCAGTGTCTCCTTGCTTGGTGTCTCATTGAGGAGGGAAGAAAGTGGTGAAGCCAACAGTAGCCCATCAGTGTGCCTCACAGTGTCCCAAGGAGAGGATGAGCCCTGGACATTTAAGGGTAGTTATGTTGCTTTCACAGAGAGAAATGATCTGGACTGGAGAGATAGTACAGTGGGTGGGGCACTTGCCTTACGTGTGGCTGGCTGGCCTGGGTTCAGTTAACGGCATCCTATATGGTCTCCTGAGCACTGTCAGGAGTGATTTCTGAATGCAGAGTCAGGAGTAACTCCGGAGCATCCATACCAGATATGGGGGGAAGAGAGAGAGAGAGAGGAGGGAGAGAGAGAGAGAGAGAGAGAGAGAGAGAGAGAGAGAGAGAGAGAGAGGAAAGAAAAGGAGAAATGAGAGAGATTTACTTACTGATTGATTTTTGAACTACACTGGCACAGTTTAGATTCTCCTTCTAACTCAGTTCTCTTGGGTTGCTTCTGGCGGTGCCGGTATGGGGAAGGGCACATGGTGTAGTTAACTGCACCTGGGCCACACATGTGCAGAGCATATGCTCTATTTCTTTGAACCATCACCCAGTTGGAAAATGTGTTCCAAGAGTCAGCCGGTGATGAGGAAAACTCTTTCTGTGGAATACTCCCAATGGCACCAATGATGTGCTCCTTTTAGTCACAGTCACCGTTCCGTGGAAGAGTTACCTGGTCCCATCGCTTCCTCTATGTTCACTTGCTGTTGGTTTCGTCCCCTTACCAGAACATTTGTCTCTTGACTAGGTGGTTCGACATGAACAGGTAGTTGTCATCTGGACCTGATCATTACCTGACTGTGCAAGTTAGGATTTTTGCCTCTCTTTTCATAATTGGGCATTGAGACTCAGCAGGCTTGGGCGATTGCCTCTGTCGTGGGGCTGATTAGGACATAGGTGTGGAAGGTGCAGAGCCCGTGTCTATTGTTCGCCCATCCTCTAGGTCACTGGAAGCCTGGGCTGGAAACCTGGGACTTTTTGGCAAGTCCAGGTTCCTCCAGAATCTCTTTGCCAGCCGTGATAACCCCTTTTTATTTATTTATTTAACTTATTTTTGCTTTTTGGGTCACACCCAGCGATGCTCAGGGGTTACTCCTGGCTCTGCACTCAGGAATTACTCCTGGCGGTGCTCAGGGACCAGATGGGTTGCTGGGAATCGAACCCAGGTCGGCCGCGTGCAAGGCAAACACCCTACCTGCTGTACTATCGCTCTAACCCCGATCACCCCTTTTTAGGCTGCCTGAGAGGACTTCGGCTCCAGCTGGTGACACTTCCAGCCCCAGCTGCTTCCTTAGTGGCAGATTTGGGCCTTTCTTTTCTCTTCTTCCTTCCTCCTTCTGCTCTAATTATGGCCTGTGGAAAGCTGCCCTTCCTCTTCCTCTTCTCTGGGGAGAGATAATAGCACTCTTTCTCCCATTGCAGGAGAGACTCCCTTTCTCCCTTTGTTTCAAGCTTTGGAAGGTATCTGTAGGAATCCTCTCTCCAGCTTCCCACCCCACAAACACCCTTACTGCCATAGCACCCCGCACCCCCCTTTCACTGCATCTCTGTGGTCACCTAGTACATCTTTTTAAAAACTAGGCTCGGATCACACCCAGCAGCGCCCAGAAAACTGTGTGTGGTGCTGGACATCGAACTGACTGTGTGCACGGCAAACACCCTGCCTCCTGACCGACCGGGTGCATCTTGAGTATACATTTTCTGGAACTGGTTGTGCACAGTGAAAAGCAATTCTTCAGGTTTTTGAACGCACAAAAATGAAAGCCTTGCAGCAGAGTAAGCAGGCGAAGTCCCTGGAGAGTGACTGAACCACAGACTCTGTGATAGACGCCTGAAGTTGCTTTGCTTTTCCTGTTGAGGCTGCTGTGGGGAGCTGGTTATTTCACACTGGAGGGTTCAGGAATCTGATCTCTCCCCATGAACCCTGGAACACAGCTGCAATGTGTTGCTTCGCACTCATTGTGGAGCTGAATGTACAGGGAGCAGGGGAG